TAACATGTAAATTCAGTTCTGAGGAGCAAAAGCGTTCCTCAGGCAGGTGACAATGCCAGCATCACCATCCTACAAAATTGCATCAAAAGCTCTTGAAATACATACCAAGAAATGAAAGAGGCACTAAATGTGTTGGAATTCACCTTTCAAAAAAGCAGCATGACTGTGAACGAAGGCCACCTTGGCGAAGAACCTGTGGCAGTGCTTCAAAAAGACATAAAATTAAATAAAGACACGACAGGCTGATAATCACCACGTTAGATATGAAAGTCTGGTTACTCCAACCTTTTTTCAAGTGTGTTAAAAAAGAAAAAAAAAAATCAAACTGCCTTTCCGACCCCTGAGTGTAATCCCAAAGAAGACGGTGATGCTTTTAACTCTGCTCTGAATAAAGCAGAGCTAAACGCACAGATTACCAACGTCGTCTGAAAACAAAACAAAACAGAAGATGTAAACATCTACAAAGTTTAAGGTAAAAGCAGTTTTGTAAACAGGAACTGCAGATGCTAATGTTATTGTAAAATCACAGTTTGTCAACGTCCTCGGGCCCCTGGGGAGCCCCTGGGTTCGGAGCTGTGCAGGTAATGACAGTTGCAGCAGGTCTCAGGCAGGTCTCGGTCCTGTACAAACTGACGTGTCAGTAGGTAGGTTACTGGTTTCTTGTCTTCTTTCTAAACACTGTGGATGTTATTTATTTCCCACTTTTGAGTCGTTTTGCTGGAGTCACAGTCGGAGATGAACACTTGGTGGAGGACCTCGGAGCGATCCAAGCACATTCCTGAAGGAACGTGAGTGAGTCTGTGCAGGTTCTGGAAAACACAGTGAAATGCAGTGTTACGTGTGCACTTTCGTATCGCTGACGTTCGACGAAGTCACTGCTTAGCTTTCAAAGGAAGACAATTTGAGCGAACTGGCAGGGCATGATCCAGACACACCTGACTCTGGATTTCTCTTGCTCTTTCAAAATTTTTATTTATTTATTTATTTCCAAAGTTATGGTTTCCTTTTTTTTTTTTAAATTGAAGTATATAGTCAGTTTACAATGTTGTGTCAATTTCTGGTGTACAGCACAATACTTCAGTCATATAGGAACATACATATATTCATTTTCATATTCTTTCTAACCATAAGTTACTACAAGATATTGAATATAGTTCCCTGTGCTACACAGTATAAATTTGCTGTTTATTCTCTTTTTAAACAGAAGCATGGTCAGTTTACAATGCTGTGTCCATTTCTGGTGTCCAGCTTAATAGTTCAGTCATACATACACACACGTACATTCCTTTTCCTATTCTTTTTCATTATGATTCTGGATTTCCCTTGACTGTCAATCTTCCACATACTTTTATTGGTAAGTCATAATGTACTGCTGATGCCTCCAGTTCCATGGATTCAGACCTGAATTCACTGTCTTCCCTTCCAGACCCGCTCCTCTGGCTCCTCTCCTGCTTCCCAGCCCTCAGGATGGCTCCCACCCTCCCAGTTGCCAGCGAGGACAGCACGTGCGGTGCTCCTGCCTGCCTGCTTCCCCATCCCCACTGCCCTGCCGGGGTCCAGCCCGTCCTCTGCTGGAGGCTGCTTCAGTACAGCTCAGGGCTTCTCAGAGTGTGGGCTTCAGATGAGCTAAGATTGCTTCTGTAAGGTCAAAACTATTTTCATGATAATACAAACCCTTTCCATCATATTGACATTTATACTGATGGTGGGAAAGCCCTGGCTGGTAGAGGTTCTGGGGCTGTGGCATCGTCAAGCAGGCACCTTCCCCACGGCCACACACTCACAATTACAAAGGAAAGAAAAGCCAGTTTCACTGGAGAATGGCCTTGACGAAGCAGTAAAATGTGTTGGTTTATTAAATCTTGACCCTCAAGTATACTTTTTAAAACATCCTGTGAGAAGGTACAGGAAGACTGCATAATGCACTTCCCTTCGCAGTGACTGGACTCAGGGCTGAACGAGCTGCTCTTCTCCTGGGATGTCACTCTGACTTGGAAGGACAAGGCGTGGACAGATTATGATTATTCAGATTTGGGACTGGGTAGACATTTTCCAGAAAATGAAGTGAGCCGGTCACTTCAAGCTAAAAGCAACAATGTAAATCTGATGGTATTTGCTGCCATTGATCAGATTTGAGTTTTCAAACAAAAAAAATGAGAGTTTGGGAAAACTCGTATGCACCACCATGAACGGGACAGCGTCACAATATTTAAAGACCAGTGGTTATCTTTGTGACTTTTCGGCACTGCACAATGAGATGGGCCATCCTGTGGATGACCTGTGTTACTCAGTGAGCCAGTGTTCTCCAAAGGAGCAGCAGGTGTGTGATGTCACAAAAGGTCCAAAGTGTAAGACAGACCAGTGGGCTTAAGGTAACACAGGGCAAAATGTCCACTGATGGATTCTAGAGTCTAAACTGCAAATGCCTTTCAAGAAACTGCCTCTTACACACTTGTGGTGCGGCACGAAGATCAGCCACATCCGTCTGAGAGGCTGTTAATTTACCCCTCGGTGTGTACGTCATGCAGGACTTTCCTCAGATGCGCAACTGAACAACATCCCGCATCCCGCTCAGCGCAGGAGCACGGCAAGAATCCAGACATTAAAGCAACTGGCAAGACTATAAAACAGCGCCACTCTTCTCGCTCTTGGGGGAAAATAGTTACTTTTCATTAAAAGTGTTACACTAATATGAAACGGAGTTATGAGTGTTACTTTTATGGGAATTAATACATAAAGAGTCGCAGCATTTCTCAGGCTGAATTCCCAGTTTAGGAAGTTTGTCAGCTGTAACCCCAGGGAATAATCTGCGGGGAGCGCGCCTGCGTTTGTAAGGATGTAAAGACCGAGCGGCGAGCGAGCTGCTGACCCCGCTGGTCTCCTGCTCACCGGTCCGTCCCTCACAATGTTTCCAGAACTATTTTCCTGAAAGTATCCCGTTTCCTATCACCGGGATCCTCAACTAATGCCAGTCGCTCCCCAAGCTCGCAGCACGGGGTCCCACGCGCTCTCATGTGGAGAGCAACTCGGGGAAGCAGACCAGACACCGTTCGCAGGCGCCTCTGCTCCCCCGCGGCTTCTCACTCAGCCTCCGCAGAAAGCCTTTCCGACCTCCAGACCTGGCGCGATGACACTTCCTACATGAAACTCCCTCCCAGCAGAAAAACTGCTCCCCCAGAGTCAAGCCAGTAACTGCACGTGACCTTTAAAGCCAGCAGCAGGTGACATGTAAGCTGTTGTGCTGAGCAAATGGCCGTGATGGGATGGGTGAGGGCCTGGAGCCCAGCACGTTATTCGCTCGTCTCTACCCCCACCTGCTGGACAACAGGCGGCAGTAATTTAAAAATTAATAAAATGCAAAAATAAACGCAACCGCTTCTGTGTCCTATGTAGGTATACTTATGTGTGTCTATATATGTAATTTGAATAAATGACTCAGATTGAAAAGATCAGACTTTGACAACAGAACAGCAGTGACTTCTTCCATCTACCCGAGTCACTGGTTACAGTCACATACATAGACAGAGATAGGTATTTATAAACGTTGTGTTACTGAAATCAGCAGTGGGTCTGCATGGACCTCGTATGGCCTCCTGCCATGACAATGTTGCACCCGAGAATAAACGGGGTGCAATAAATGGGGTGCAGTGAGTCCTCAGGAGACCAAACGACCAAACGAGAGGGAAATGGAAGTGAGCGTGAGTGCAGGCTCTACAGTTTATGCGTCTAAATTCCACGGGGAGGTGTTATTAAAGTGAAACAGCATATATTTCAGGAGCTGAGATGCAGCGTACCTTGAAGTATTGCCACTCCTTAAATTCATTCAGGTTGCAGTGGGTGATCATGATTTTTGATCCGTCAGGCCCCTTCGTCAAACACTGGTCGTATTGCATGAGCTGATTAGCTTCGTTGATTCGGAAAAGCTATTAAAAAAAAGGGAAAGAAAAAAGTAAGAGAGGCGCCTTCTCTGTAGATACACATTAAAAAGAAAAGAAAGAAAGAAACTTAACTCCTGTAATTAAACTCAGTGACTATCTTATTTTTCTATAACATTTATGTTCAGAATTGTTAAGTCCAAAGACAGGAACTACCTTCACTTTGATGTTAAGTGAAGACCCCTTCTAACTCAGAGCATTATGCTCTCTTTAGCCTTTTAGGCCCAGAAGAGGGCAGTCACACGTGTATATTACGTACCAACAATGTAAGAAAAGGGAAATGTGGAAACAGACCCGATAATATTTCGCAATCTAAATTTGAGGCAGGAAAAACACCATAAAAGGGAATAGGAAAACACATCAGTAAAACACACATTACTGGTAATAGCGCTCCAGCTCACTGGCGGGGGAGGCAGAATCCTGAACAACATGTATGTGCAAGTCAAACGGTTAGGGAGCAAGGCTCCTGCAGTTACACACGCAGGCAAGGACGTATTCCACTCTCACACTAGGCGTAAATCCTGGATTCTGGTTGCTTGTGTGAAAACCAATACTGTTATTATCCCCTCGTTGGAGTAACTGTTTTAGCACTGCCGACTTTTCACAGAATGTCTTCCTTTGCCACACAGACACAGGTACCAAACTGCAGCCCAGACTGAAGCCTGTGCTCAGGCCGCCGCATCGGAGGTGCGCCGTGTACCTGGTTCCCGCCCATCCTGTGGCAGGGCCCCAGCTCAACCAGGCCGCCGTTGGTCCTCCCCATGCTGTCAATGCAGTACGCAGTCTCAAAGCCTCGGATCTACAAAAATGAACACAGAACCACAAGGCAGGCAACAGTTTAGCCCTAGGATGCTCTCGCACCGGAGTCCAAGAGCTCCGAGTTAGGCTGCAGCCCCCTGCAGGGCTGGGTGTGGGCTGGCAGCCCGGGAGGGGCTCAGAGCACAGCCACCCCTGAGATCGTTCACGGTCCTAAAGTCAACACTGGAGTGGGCCCATCCCAACTAGGGGTCTTGGCCTACAGATTTCGATCAAATAGCACAGAAGGAAAAATAAAGAGACCATTATACCACTTCAGATACATGACCCTTCGTGTGAGTGAGGCACCGAGTAAAGGGACCGACCACAGGGGTCACAGACACTGTGGAGACCAGCTCTGAGCTCGGGAGGTGACGCTCCCCGCCTCCCCACACAGCTGCCTGCAGGGCAGGGGCGGGGGGTGCGGAGGGCGGCTGGAGGACCAGGCACTGGGACCCTTCCCAGACCGTGGGTATCGCCGGTGAGCAGCAGCAGGCACGGGTTTCCATCCATGCAATGCACGTTCTGTACAAAAATATAACCCTTTTCCTTTTTGGAAATATGACAGACATATCTGTATTATAAATTACTGTCGTATTTGGATGAAATGTTTAATTCATTCCCTCAGTCAGCAAATACTGACTACCGGAGCTTAAGATACCAAGAGAAGCACATCCCGGCTGGAGGCCTCCTGTCTGTCGGGAGGTGGGAGGGGCATTGGGATGGAGAGGGAGCTCTGAGGCTGCCCCCGCAGGAGAGGAGTGGGCTGGGGTGTACTGTGGGAAGTGCGGGGAGCTGGGAGAAGTGGCGTGTGAGGTGCAGGGCCGGAGCGGGGAGGGGTGAACTGAAGGTGTGTCCAGGGTGAGACCATACAGGGAGGACGGAAAATACCTGCTCACGCACGCTTCCGCTTATTCATCAGCCGTCAGGTGAGGGCTGTGTCGGGCGTGGGGAGGCCTGAGACCCCAGTGAAGAGTAAGGGTGCAGACCTCGCCCAGGGAGCTTGGGCTCTAGGGAGGGAAAGACAGGATGCGAGCAGAACCGTAACGACGTGTTAGAAAGTGGGGAGTGAGAATCGTGGAGAAGAGAAAAGAGGAGCAAGTTGAGGGGGGAGTGTCTGGGGGCCGCAGAGTAGATCCCGCTGAGTGACATCTGCCTGGAGAAGGCATTCCGGGCGGAGGAGCAGACAGGCCGGGGTGAATGTGCGGGAGGAAGGGGGCCCAGGGAAGAGGCCAGGCGGGGCTGCGGGAAGGTGAGGCCAGGGAGGAAGGGCCCCCAGAGAGGCCTGTGCCCCCCTTAGAGTGAAAGGGGCCTCATGGAAGGGCTCTGAGAGAGCAGAGATGTGGCCTGACCGGGACAGGCTGGAGGCAGGCACGGTCCATCTTAGAGCAGAGAGGATGGGTCAGATTCTGGAACTGGTTGTGACGTGTGGGAACAGAGGATTCAAGGATGACTCCAGAGTTTCCGGCCTGAGCAACCAGCACAGGTGAGGGACGGGGAGGAGGAGGGGGAGCCCAGAGTCACCCAGGCCGGGTCTGCACGGTCATGTGGAGATGTCAGAGGGCAGCTGAACGTACTTGTCTGGGCTCTGGGACAGAGGTTTGGGCTGAAGATGGAAATTTGAGAGCCATGAGCATGTGGAGGGTTTTGAAGGCATCTCCTGGCAAGTTCACCAAGAGAATTCATCCCTTTCCCACAGAAGGTGCTATACTAACCAGGTATTCCTACTGAAATGTGGTCTTGACTCTCGGGGGCGACATGATTTGATCTGAGAGGAAGGGGCGGGAGGTCGGTGTAGGGTAACTGTCTGGTGCAAAGGCCTGGAGGTGAACAGACAGTTTTCCACCAGACTTTTCCCCAAGCATCCCCCTCCGCCCTCCGGCGTCTCCCTGTCTCTGCCACGAGGTCTGGGCGCCGGCTGGCACTCACCTCTCCCCAGTCGACGTTCCTGGGTGGCAGCGGGTAGTGCGACGTGACATCGTAGGCGATTTCTTCCATGAACCATTTGAAGCTTTTGCAGTTGTGATCTTCTCGAAACTTCTTCAGCTCTGATATATCCCCGTACGCCAAGGCCTTCGACTCGGGACGGCTGGCGTAGAAGTAGTCCTTGTACTCATCCCACCAGACCTCCACGACCCTGACATAATTCTGCGACAAAGAAGATTAACGTCATTGTAAACAGTAAAAATACCTGTACCGTCACGAACAGCCCCTCTCAGACACGAACTGTGACCAGCCCCAACACACTCACTTCAGTGGGACCCGATATTTAATTAAACAACAGATGCGGGTGAGCTACTGGCTGACAGGTCACTGTCATGCGTGTCAACAGAAGAGTGGTGGACACAGAATCCAGTGTGCCGCGCTGAAGACCGTGCCCTGCAAGCTGACACACCCGTCCTGCTCGCACAGAGGGTCCCGGCCAGCGCGGGGCCTCCTCTGGTCCCCCGGCTGCCGGCGCGCTCGCGGGAAGCCCCACGTCAGACGCCACCAGGAGGACACAACTCTGATTAATGAGACACGTTTCTGCGGGCGGGCCTGCCGGCCGGGTCACAGCTGTGAGAGGCCACTTCACGGCGGCCCAGGGCTACCTAGGTGTCTCCCCGACCTGGTGCACTTTGAAAAGCCACTGAAGAACCACCAAATCAGCTGACGCGGTAAAGGACAAAGATCTAACTTCTGATGCTCGAGTGAACGAGTGTGCGCAGTGTGAGGGCCGGCGGTGGGCCCGGGACAGCCCCGGCCGGGGCAGGCTCCCTCCGGGGCCCGGGGCGCAGCCGTCGTGGCTTGGTGGCTGCTGCGGTGAGAAGCGGCCCCAGATCACACGCAGGCAAGGGGCCACGGCTGGGTTCCGCCACAGCTTCCATTTACCAAAAAAGGCCATGGTCGCTGACCAGTTTACACCAGGAGGAGGAACACCCAGTGTTCAGAGTCGGTTTTTCCTAGGCTACAGCTATCAAAGGGTGAGTGCACCACCACAGGCGTGTGGCTGCGAGAGCCCGTGGGCTCAAAAACGTTTTCAGCAGCAGTGTCCAAAGGGAGCACACAGTATTCTTGCTAAATGTCCTGAATCCTCACACACCCATCTGAGGTTACACACAGTCCAAGTCTTCTAGGTATTAATGAACACGAGTTAAGTGCACACGCATGAGGCCACAGCAACAAAAAGACGGAGCACTTAATTATCTGGGATGGAGGGGGCGCCGGAGGGGCGTGGTAGATCAGTCCTGAAGGCGTGGTCAGTGAGGGGCACTCGGGACAGAGAGCTACGCAGATACACGGCAAGTCACGGTGCACCTGGAGACCGGAGAGAAGTTCATGACCACAACAGGAACGCAGGGCGCGCGGAGAAAGCCTGCCTCGGTTTCCTCCCTTGAGGATAATTGAGAAGTTAGTCTATGTAAAGCATTTAAATGTGCACACACTAAGCCCTCACGCAGTGTCAGCTGTCAGTAATGCTGCTCTTTTTTAAGGACTTTGCATTTGGTCCCCTAGCTGACAGCCGTCCCAGGGGCCTAAGAAGATGGCAGACATCAGATTCTGTTTTTAGGGGAATAACCCGGGCACGTGGAGGTGGGCAGAGGGGGTCGGACCTGAGGGCAGAGAGCAGGGGTTGGGGGGGCAGTGAGCACCCCAGGGAGAGCCCATGCTGGGTGTAGAGAGGACTGGACCCAAGAGGCGTGTACGAGTCTCACTCGTGGGCACAGAAGACACGGGAAAAGGAGCCGCTTCTGAGGAAAAGTTTAACACCAGCTCCAACGACCCTGAGTCTGAAACATATGAGGGTCCCCTGGGCGGAGGGGTCTGGGAGACAGCTGGCCACAGAGGCCCACAGCTCAGAGGACCACGGCTGATGAACAGCCCCAGAGGCTGGAGCGGACGCACGTCAATGGAGGACAGCGGGTCACCCCGTGCACCCCCCGGGCTGATGAGGGCTGAGCTCACCGTGCCGTTTACCGGGGCCTGATGGCGCCCACGGTTACCTTCAGAGGGGATAAGTGTTTCCCTCCCACCTCTCCTTTCCTGCTCCTCGCAGCACAGGCCTTCCCGAACTAGCCTGCCTCTGCATCCTTCCTCCTGACTGTGGGTCTGATCCCAAGGGCAGGCTCCCCTCCTGCGGTGCAGGCAGGCCTGGGGTGAACCTGGTGCCACCTCTGCCACGGCGTGGATGCTTCAATCCCGTCCCACTGTAGCGGGGGCTCCATTTGGCCACATCTACAGTAATCTGGCCGGTTAGAGGGCAGTGCTGTCCTCAAAGCCTAGTCTCTGTTTCTGTTACTTATTCCCCTTTGGGGAATTGCCCCGAGTTGCATCTGCAGCCAAAAATAGACTTCCTTCTGCTTTTGACTTGGTTGAGGGCTCCAGGAAAATGCAGGGCACCACAGCGAGCTGCTTGCAAGAGTCTACGAAAGCTGCCCAACCCAAAAGCCTTCTAAATTGCTCCATCAAGGAGACAGGCCTTTGTCCTGCCATCAGCGGGGCCTCTGACCTCTGTGTGAAGCTTTCCTGGTTTGTCCCTGGTTTGAGGGACAAAAGATACTCATCCTTTTCAAGCACGGTTCAAAAAATCTGATTTTGTTTACAATACAAACTCCTATTATAATCCTTTACTTGTAAAAATCAAATAAAACAGCATTTTACTCGAGTGTGAATAAGAGAAGCTGGCGTGTCCCTTTCAACTACTTTCCCACACAGTGTTAGGTTTTTAAAATTTATTTGAGATGTCTTCATGGAGAACATTCAATACAGGAATTCTAATCACAATGGGACACAAGGAATAATCTTAAAAAACAGTAAGATGTTTCATGAGTAAGTCCAGCCTCAGCTCAAGGTGAGAACCAGCCTGGTTGCTGAGAAGCTGCACCCCAGTTGGCGAGTGGTCATTCAGGTGACCACCTCTGCCCGTGGCACCTCCGTGTCGGGTCCCCTGCCTCCTCCCCCTCTGACCAGGAGACTCACCTTCAGTGTAGGAGACGACCCCACGTAGATGGGCGGAGGGTTCCCCTGCCAGCCCTCGAGGCGGTAGATGTGTCCGACGCGGGAACAGGGGACGAACAGTAATTTGCCCCCACACTGCCAGATCTACGGGGAAGAAGACGTGGCAGCTGTCTCAAATGCCAAGTCTGCCTTGTAAACGTCAAAGTCTAAATTAGATACAGTGTCTACGGGGAATTCATGAACTTAACAGGTTCTAAGATAATTCCCTTGTTTTTCAAACTCATATAAGAACCAAGAGGCCTCGAGGGAATGCAGTAAGGCACGCGGGCACCTGGGCTCCTCCGAGCACCTGCAGCCCCCGCGACACTCCTCAGCCTGACCTCCAGCCACGCGGACTCCTCATTCCTGCCGCTGCTCGTTGCTCCCTACACGTCTCCCACCCGGGCGACTGTCGTAGTAACCTCCTCTGCTTTCCCTCTGCTCAGCGCCCCCCGTATTTACAGCAGGAGACGGGGTGAGCTGAAGGGCGGCTCTGGGCGGGTCCTCCCCTCCCTTAGGATCTCTGACGGTTCCCACTGCCTGTCGAAGTCAGTAAACCTGCAGCTCAGCATTAAGGGGTCTCTTCGCTGTGGTCCTAACGTCCTGCCCGCTTCGTCTTCTTGGGTGTCTGTCTCACTCATGCTGTCGGCCCCTCCCCATCTCATGAACTGTCTTCACGTCCCCACCTCTGTCCCCACCTTCGTGCCCTGCCCCCTCCCCCTCGGCCCTGCTTGTTGGCCCCACGCCCGTCTTCCTGTTCTCCCCCAACTCTGCCTCCAGCGGGATGCTGCTTCTTAATCACACCAGTCAGCGTCCTGCTACCTTCTGACCCTACTCCGGATTTAAGCATAATTCTAATCTCTTATCGACTGTAAGCTCCTCGACAGCCAGGACTGAGTGACTCCTCCTCTGTCCCTCACTGTGCCGAGTGCTGGACACTTAAGACAAGAGGTAACAAGTATCTGTTCAACTCTTTCTTTATTTTGGGAAGTGGGCGGGAGGGGGCAGGAAGGACGCTCCAGGGCCAGTCTGAGGATGCCCAGTCACTGCTGGGATCTGCTTCTGTCCTGAACCACCCTGTCCTGCAGTGGTGACGGGCAGCTTTATCAGTGGGTGGTCAAATGGGACCCCTACACATGCAAGTCCTCCTAAGGCGCCTATAACAAAAGTAAAGAAAACCTTTGGGGGTGGGGGGGCAGGGGTAGGAGTCTTATTTCTGAAGCTTGCTGGCCTCAATCTTTTAGCTGAGCCATGTACATATGTAGTAAGTCTGGAGCTTGTACTTTGCCTTATGTTTCCCGAAAGGGCAAATATTTGTGTCGGTCATTCCCTGTACTTTAGAGAAATGCATCAAGCAGTTTTTTTTTTCCCCTCAAAGAAACCAGCCTCATCTGAAAGTCACAAGAGTCAGTAACTGCTCAGGAAACTGCCCTTGTTTAAAGGGAACGTTACCTTGTATGAGATCTCGAAGTTTTCCCCACCCCAGATCTGGAGACCTGGATCATACAGACCCAATTCAAAGAAGAAGTCTCGTTCAATGGCGAATAATCCTCCAGCCATGGCCGGGGACCTAAGGAAAAGAAACACGGTGATGACTTTTAAAGACAAGCCCCCGACACCCCTTCACCAACAGACAACAGTCTAAACAATGCACAGAAGAGACGAAACTGATGGCCAAACATTAAGAAATTATAAAGCCTTCACAAAACTATCTGTTCATAATTCCTTAAAGAATTTACTATAATTTTTGACAGAAATAACATTACAGTTCATTACAAATTAGAGCATTCCATCATCTTGCCATTAGAGGGCGCCTGGGTTCCTTTGCTGAACTCAAAATTAAGCCTGTAGAGTTAAGTTAAAATAGAATTTCTTCTTTCATTCCTACAAATACTGAGCCGGACAGCTGTGGTCTGCTAACCACTCCCCCAGTGATTTATGAGTCATTCTGGGATGAGCAAAACCATACGCCATGGAAGCAGTCTCTCATTTTTTAATTTTATAGCTTAGGGGTTTGCCAAATACGGGTGTAAATCACAGGAGAACAGCCACGGTTCATTCAGAGTTTGCAAATGTAGTGCAGTAGTGACACAGGAGAATCAGACATAGCCATTTACTGTGTCAGGGGCGGGGACGCCAAAAGGTGGCTGTGGGCTTCTTTTCCTGAGGGGAGGATTAGGATTATTTATTTATTTATGTATTCATTTACTTATTTAAATGGAGGCGCTGGGGATTGAACTCAGGACCTCATGCATGCTGAGCATGCACTCTACCACTGAGCTAAACCCCTCCCTCCTCTGTGGGGCTTCTTCAGTGGGATCTTGAGTTGGGTACTTTTTAGGGACAAGAGAAAAAAAGACTTGGTAGCTTTTTAGGGACAAGCCACTCCCATTGTGAGGAGAAGCCACGAGGAATAATCCTCATCCTGTTTCCCCTCGTCCCTGGGAACAATCAATTATCACTGCATCTGATTCTCACCTTCATCATCACACCTAATGTTCAATCTATCACCGATGCCTGCTGACGCTACCTTGAACATATATCCGGAATTTACTTCTTCCCAGCGACACCGCAGTCATGCGAGACCAAGCACACTAACCCCTGACTGGTCCTCCGCTCTCCTCTGCCCAGTCTGAGCCTGGTCATGGGCTCAAGAGGGGCCCATGGGACGCCAGACTTCCCCTCTCCCGGGCGCAGCTGGCTCTGTGGGTCCAGGGCTTCACAGCTGGAACACGCCCAACTCCCCTCTGTCCCAGGGCCCTCACGTCTGCTGTCCCCTCCTGAAATGTCCCTCTTCCTCCCACACAGGGCTTGGCCTCAAAGGCACCGTGGGCTGCATGGACCATGTGGCTTTTCATCACCCCATGCATCACACCTGCAGCTCCAGGGTTGTTTGTGTAGAGTTTAATTTCTGCCTCACCCAGTGCACTGTAAGTGCCACGAGGCAACATGTCTTTTAAAAATTCACCCCCAGAAAACTGGGCCTGGCACATTGTAAGCACTTATTAAGTATTAAATAAATAATGAATCAAGTGATATTTTCAGTATTAAAAGGAAATCACGTCAGGGGAAAGCCATTCTCTTGTACAAGGCTTTCCTTCCTGTGTGCTGCCTTGCACTAAGCAGCAGCATCACACTTTTGGTTGTATTTTCACACCACATTTATTCAATTGTCATTTAACATTCTTCTACAATAGCGATGCCTTTTTGATCTTTAAACATATTCCCACTTAGTATATATTTGAAAATGTATCTTAACACGAAAACCAGTGAGCTATTTTAAGGAAAACCTTCCTTAAATTTTTCTAGCACTTAAAAAAAATTCTCTTCACTAGCCCATGGAATTGGCAGAAATATAACTGTCATCATCACCCTTTATTTTTTTCTCCCAGAATTATTCGCAAGTCAGGTTAAGCGGTTAAATGGTTGGCTCCTGGACAATTTTTGAAAAAGGATTTCAAAGAGGAATTTGGAAAGTGTCAAATAAAGCTGAAAGTTGTATAATTTCCTTATGTTTGCCATTTCAGTATCTTGGTATCACGACATGCCCAAATCCCACCAACTTTTTGCAGGACATTGGAGAAACCTTCCCCAAACTCAGTTCAAACATTATCAGTAGCGTAACAAGGAGAGAGAGACCAAAAGCAGAACCATAAGATCAGAAAAATAAAGTCAGACACATTGAGAAGCCTACCCTAACATTTAAGCAGACTTTTCAGTTGGGGCCACTCTTCTGAAAGACAGTAAAAAGCTCCAGTGAAAAGACCAAAAAGCAGAGAATAGCATAAATTGTTCTATTTGATGAAGTCACAAGAAGGGAGAAAGGCTGATTTTGGAATAAAGTTTTCTTTTAATCAAGTGCTCTCCTGAGAATAAAGTAAGAGAGGATTCCATCTAACATTTCCCAGAGTCATGGACTGTTTCCATCAGATTTAACTGGTGCAAAATTAGTATTTCAGAGTTAGCATATAAAACAAAAGAAGGAAAAAAAACCCTCTTACTACTGCCTTTCACTGTTAACACTACCCTCAAGGTATGAGAATGGATATAAAACTTGGATTGTGAATGCATCTTAAACTTACAGATTGACATTACTGTCAAAAGAACACAATTTCACATCTAGTCTACTAGGACAGGATGACAAAGTTTTTCTTTCTTTTTTTTTCTTTTTCACTTGAATTTGGAACTAACGCTATATAACATCCCCATCCCCAGGCCCCCCCCCCCACCAAGTGGAGCTTGTTTCTAAGGAAAAAGCAACCACAAAGCAGCAACTGTGAATTTAAACGTCTGAAATAGCGCCAGGAAAGAAACCCTTTCAGAATCTGAGTCAGCATCTACAGTTTTAAGAAGAATTTTTTTTTTCAGCTCTGCAAGAGGTTAATAGGTTAGCAGCAACTAGAGAAAAGAAAAAAAACATGTAAGTGATTTAGTGATTACCGATATGGTTCAGTTTTTGTCTTTCTCATTCTCTTCTCTTGAGGGGTCAGAGGCACCCGTTTCCAGAGCATGCTCCAATCCCACACTCCTCGGGCATACCCATCTTCGTCACCACCCCCTTGGGGCACAATTTCATATGTGTTGCCATTTATGACATCGATAATCGGCACAGTGCAAATGGTTCTGGGTGGGGTTGGTGGTGGCAGCAAAGATGAAATGGGAAGGCATGTGTGGACCCACGTGTTTACATGAGGACATAGGGGAGGAAAAAAAAGAAAACAAGGACTTAGATAAACATTCCACAGAAGAAAATGAAGTCGCAGTCTTTACCGATAAGGTTCAGTTTTATGCTTTCTTTTGGCCTTTTCCTTGTGGCTTAGAGGAATACGTTTCCAGAGTAAACTCCAGTCCCAGGCCCCTCTGGCAAAACCATCTTCGTCCCCACCTTGCTGCGGTTCAATGGAATAATCATTGCCATCTATGTAATCTATTAGAGGCACAGTACACGTAGTTCTGAAACATTTACAGAAAACGGAAAAGCATTTAGGAACCCAACACTCACCAGTCCAACATGCCTAACTACATGATCTCTTTTTATTGTGGGTCTTCCCCTCCCTCCCCACCAGGGGACTTTAATATCCAGTGGGGAACAGAAGTGAGTGGCGCCTTCGAACGTCAAGGGGGCTGTCTTCCTAAGGGAAGGACGGAGGAGACTCCCTTGGCTGACAGGCAACTGTCAGGGACAAAGAGCATGTCTTCGAACTTAACAGTGCTTCCGCATTTTCACTTCGGTCCTGGAGGCAACGTGCTCTTGGGAGCTCTGCGTTATCCACCAGCTTTCCCTGCCTGTTACTTTCCCTCCATTAAAAATGAGCGTGTGGGGGGGGAGAGGGAACCGGCCACATTCTCGGCGATGCTCCCAATTCTCCACCGCCGTCTACATCTGTGCAGGCAGTTATCGTGAAAATTGGTTTCTGTACATCGACTTCACTTTCTTTTCCTACTCCTTTTATGGCCAAAAAACCCTAGCTTTATTGCAAAGAAAAAAAAAGGCCTGTATTGTATTCTTGCTTTCTTAAAAAAAGAAAAAAAAATTAGCAACCCCGCTGAAGAACTTAAATAGCGGCTTGAGTATTTGGAGCACAAAATACGTCTCCTTTGGGCTTGGAGAGAAGGCCAGGCCCACGTGACTGATCAGGTTCAGAGCCAGCTCTTCAAAGATAATCGGGGCCCAGCTGGTTCCAACGCTCATTTTCTCAGGAAAAAAATGTGTTTTTTATAGCCACGTCAAGGTGCTTTTTAGATGTTTAGAAACCATGGAGAAGGGGGAAATCTACAGGGCTTAGAATACAGAGGGTGCTTTATTCACTCCAGACTGTGGGCTCCCGGGGGGCCAGGGGAGGGTCCCAGCGGGGAGCCACAGGACCCTGCGGAAAACCGCCCTTCGCCACCCAGGACTGCCAGTTGTCACCTGCAGGGGTGAAGGCTGGTTATCTTTCTTCACTTCTCGTGATTCTCAGATTTCTAAGTAGTGCAGTGGAAAGCGTCCCAGAGAGATCTGAGTTGGATAGTTTACCGGCTGTCTGATTTGGGGCAAATTAATTAATTTCTCTAAGCCTCAGCATCCCCTCCAGTACAATGGAGCTAATTACAGCTGTCTTGCAGAGCTGCTGTGAGGATTAAATCAGACAGCACGTGAAAACCATTTACGGTAAATCCTCTGTTGACTGAATCCTCCGAAGCTCTTCCTCTGACTCACGCCACTGCCACAGGAACACGTCTTAAATTTCCTAGATTCTGAAGCAGTCAAGAGTTCTGGACTAAATGCAGGGAAGGCTTTGGGACCTCAGAGACGGATGCTAACTTTTCTGTGACTAGAATGGTGGTCACACATTTCCATAGGACAGCTGTCTACTTCACTTTAAAGGTCTGGTGGGAACCTAAAGCCTTGCCGCAAGTAACACCTGGTCCTTATTATGTAAAACAATCATGGAAAAGGGCATAAAAGAAGCAATAAGCTTACTTTCAAAGTATGCTCCTTCAAGTCTTCAGATTATTACCACAGTGGGGAGGGAGCAGTTGCAATCACTCTTAGAGAAAGTTCCTGGAGCTAGAGGAAGTCTCTTCAGAAACTCAACCACACAGTGATTCTGGGTGAGACCCCCCCCCCCCCGGGGGGTTGCCCCAAATGCCTAACTGCCCGCATGTGAATTGGCCCCAAGCACCTGACCAGCTACAGCCCGGATGACAACTAGCTGGAAGGTAACACTCAAAACACAGACTGATGCACTGAATGGGATGGGGATCAGAAGAATGAGAATATTATTTGTCCTTCTAGGATGAGGTTTACTTTTCCACCAGGAAAGGAAAAAAAAAAAAAAGCAGGGCAATGTTACCTGTCCTTAGATATGGGGGCTACGAGTGGTGCGTACCAGTTAGCTGCCACCTCACAGTGGGCATCAAGGTATATTAAAACCTTAAAAAAAAAAGAGGCAGAGTGAAAGAGCACTCCTCACACATGGCGCATCACACATCACACGCAAGTTAAAATGAGACGTTTACGCAGACTGACGTCGAGTCAGTTTCAATATATAAGCTATCTGTTTAAGTCGGCATTTTCACTTCAATGAGGAAAAACATTAAAAACCCAAAGCGTACTTAAAAATGCATCTGATCTTCTGGTGACCAAATCCAAAATGGTGACATACATTATAGGTGTCAAATGTTTCCTACCTGTCCAAGTTTAGCCTTCTGGGCACCGATGCTTCGAGCCTGAATTAAACCTTCTCTTCTCTCGTTTCGGAACACCTTTACTAGGCCATTCCACAGCTTAATATATTCATCGAGTTTTCCTTTTAAGTGTTCTACGAATAAAACAATTCAATCAACATTACAAATTATATTTATGTCTATAAACCAGATAAACTAGTATTTTTTTCAAGAAACAAGGACATACACGGGCACTTTGGGTGGTCAGTAATTTACACAGACCAGACTGCATGTAATCGACAGGGAAGTAAGGTGAAGTGTATTGTTTCAGCTAAATTTTGAGCATAATATGCCTACAGAGAACTACCTGGCCTCAGAATTATCAAACATCCCCCTAAACATGAAATAAACGAGGACTATGAAATGCCAACTGACATGAAAACTTAAAAAAAAAATCACATTCAAATATCGTATCTAGAAGCTTTTGGGCACAAGAGTTTGTTTGCTTTCGGTGGAGGCAACGGTTCAGTATTTCTGAAGACGTACTGCCCACACATAACAGTACAGGACTTCACTGGAATCCACACAGGGGACAGGTTAACATTTGTTTCTGAACCCTCTTTCCATTACAATCAGTGTTGAAGGGTGTAGTGTTGGTGTGATGATCAATACAGTTCCCATCAAGTTGGAAAATAACAATAAAAGGTCCCATTTTTCTGTATTTTAAGCATCTAATGTGTGTATGTGCATCTGTATCTGTACATATTTATAAATATTTACACATGTATAATAAATACACATAACATTTACACATAATAAATAATATATATGTAAGTATATAATGTTTGCAATTTGACAGAGGAAATTTTGTGTTATCAAGACAAGATATATTTGCCAAAGTTTCCATCTTGGCTTTCCAGCTGCAACAGAACAGTTTTGTTTGTATCACTATGAGCCCATGAAATTGGCTCATCACAGCCACAGCTAATTCCTGGATCCTTTCTTGAAGACACAAAAATTATTTTTAAGTTGTTCAAAATTTTGGCCCATGAATACAAAAACAAATTTAAAAAAATAGATGTATTTAATGATGAGCTAGTGGTTAAATGGGCAGATCAGGCGGTACACTTAATATCTGACTCATTTTTAAGGAGCTTATAATTAGCAACACACTCACACATGCCCACATGTGGGAATCCAAAATTGAGAAAAAAATTTCCTTTCTCGATTTTGGCGTCCAGTTTTATTGAGAATTATAAATAAAATTCTCATGCTGAATTACAAACTTTCCCCAGAAAGTCTTGGTAATTTTCCCTTCAATGTAAGTTTTTTTGTTTTTTTTAAAGCTCAGTACAATCCTAATTTTTTTTTAAAGCCCCTTCGGAATTACATTAGGTATTTTTTGGATACATAATATAAATAAACCTAAATTGTTACGGCCAGAAACGAGTTGATGGCCTGCTTTCCAAATTTAGATTCTTGGTTAAGATGACTTGGGCTGCAGAGGGGAGGGGGTCTCACTGCAGTGGACAGGCCACTGTCCAGGACCTTGACCATCTCTGCTCCGGGGATGATTATCCTCCACGGCCCGCGACCGCAACCTGGGCCAAGTGACTTGCCGTGGCCAATGAGAGGCCAGTGGAAATGATGCTACACTTGTGAGCGGAAGTGCTCCCCCAGCCTCCATCCCTGAGTCTTGCGCTGAGGATGTGGGTCCTGCAGCTCTTTGCCTGATGCTCAGGTGGGCAGGAGTGTACACTGTCCAGAGGCCCCAGACCTTTGAGTCTTGAGGGTACTGCAACTTCCAGAAACCCAAGGGATCTCAGCAGCCAGCTCTTTGGTGAGGCTTTATATTATTTAGTTCAGCATTTTGCCTTTAAAAGAAAAATTATAACTCAAAGTTTTACCTACTGAGTATACTGGGGAAAGAAAACAACCCAAGTTTTCACTCAAGTCAGATTTACCCAAAGCTATGTAAATTTTACTGAGGATAGGACTGACAAATGTCACCGTTGTTTTGAAACTGGAAAGAGTAATTAAAGACCTTCTGTACTTCTGTCCGGGGTAGCCCCAACCAACGACTCCACACGCTATAAGCTAAGCAGACCCTGCATGTAGTT